GATAAAAGCCAATAGGCTCCCCATAGAGTTGGAAGAGCACCACAGCCAGTGGAAAGGAAGTAGACGGAGGAAACATCTGGAGGAAGGCTCAAGGGAAGAGCAAAACTGCCCTCTTTTGGCAGCAGCAAGCTGTTAGGTCAACTTGACCCATTTTGGACTTTGAAGGGATGTTCAGTGACTTCCCATCTGCCCCTTGAATGTACAGAGCACAGTACTTCAAAATTAGGATTGCTTTTTTTCAAATTACTCATTTCAAATTTTTTATTTCTACTACACGACCTCTACTAACTAAAATATTTAGAAACCTGGAAGTGTTTTTTAATTCATGTTGGCAGTTGAAGACACATTTTCTACTTGCATTTGTCACGTATTTGCAAAGACTTTTCAGGTATTCCCCTGCAAAGAAGGAAAAAAGCTATGGGATTTAAGTGTGCAAACAGCAGCACTAGAGGCTATATTACTGATCCGTACACCGCTGTTGTTCACCTCCAACATCTGCCAAATGGCTTCTGAATACGCTTGACAAAAAATGGGATTGGTCTTTGAGTGACTTACAAGGCCAGTCCCTCTCCAAATTCATCTGGATTTAGAGACATTGAATACTGTGCCAGTTGTTCCTCGAGGAAGTTTGTTCAGTTGTTTTGGTCAATTTTCAAGCATATTCTAGGTGTCTAATAATGTTCCTAGAAAGATGTATGGTTGATAGCATCCCTGGTTAGCAAGGCTGGAAAAGTTGAGAGGAAAGACAATTTTAGAAGCAAGCAGTCATCAGATCATATCTGACTTTGATTCATTTCAAAGATGAATTTTTCCACAATAAAAATGTAAGTAAAGTTTAAACCATTTGTTACTGCTATTCAAATGAAGAGCCTAGACTGAAACAGCGAGCACTGAAAAAGGCATATATCTCAAAATGCAGATGTATTTGTAGCAGATGGTAGAATGTCAGTAGTGTAGAGCTAGAGAGCAACCAAGAACCCAGTAATATACTCAAAAATGCCTAGGCAGAGATATGTGTCTGCCTTTGCTTGCGTTCACTGCATCTGTGGGCTCCGGTCAAGCTGGCAGCAGATAAATCAGTGTAGCTTGTTCCAGCAGCACAAGAGTTAGGGAACATTCACCTCTTCCAGTCTCCACCGGTTTATCAGCCTCAAGTAGGCACCAGGGTGTCCTGTAAATCTTTAACACAGGAATATACATCAACTATGTCGTATGAGCCCCCTGCTCACAATAACAGAAGAAAGCTCACACTGTTGCTTTCTGCCTAATATCCATGCTGGCAGGATTGATATAACTAGAAAAGATGTTATGCTGCAAAAAGATTTGGGGGATTCCTAGAATAATTCACATGGAGGGCTAAGTATATTTTTCCTTCCAGCTCTATATGAATACAAAATACTCTGGTGTTTGATATTCAACATATGCAGAGAAGGGAGTATATCTGAATAAAACTGATTATGTCAGTTTGGTAAATGGCTTTGGAAAATGGCTTTCAATTACCAGTCCATTTCCTTACACTATAATGAAGGACCATGCCCCTGCCTTTCTGTGAAACCAGTGAAAATGTTAGTTTTCGTTAGGAGAACATAATTTTCATACTAGTCTGCCATGTTTTCCCCCCAAATGCAAATAATCCATACTAACGGATACTCCATCTCTGTTGACAGGCTTATCTTTTGCTTTTTGGGGATTTACAGAAAGAGACATATACACATGTGTATATATGTGTGTGTGTTTGTGTGTATATAGTTTTTTGTTTTCTGCAGAAAAAAGCAAATTCGAATAGCTCCCAATTCACTGCTAACAGACCAAATCATATAAGAAATGAAGTAAAGTATTCAGTATTCGGGAAAGAAAAGACATAGTCTTACATTATTTACTTATCTGTACAAATTACATACATGAAGACGGAGCACAGTGACCTGCACATATAGTACTGGGGGAGGCATCAGTTCCCAACAATGCATTTGTTAAGAGTTAGCACTAAGACAATATGGTGCTAGAAAGTCAAAACAGTATGTCTGTTTCTGGGCCTTTTTAAAGGAAAATGAAAATGTAATCTGTCCCACTTTGCTAGTGTGGAATTTGCATTTTGAGATGTTTGATCATACAGCCCCATTTTGTTTCGTTACGAACAATTGCATTTCTCCTCTCTACTTCATTCTATGAACATGAGGGTACAGAAACCAATCTTACCTTCCAAGGAAGAACGCTATATAAAAGGTAGAGCTGTTCAGATTGACAAACTGGAAAAGAAACATTTTCAGAGTGAAGCTGTTCTCCCACTCAGACTCAGTACGAGGCTGCTCTGTGAAGAAAGAGAGCAGAGTTTGAGAGCTTTAATCACATTAGCAATTTTACCTGGCACAAAGGCTGCAGGCACCTATCAGAGCTGGCAATGTATTTGCAAATTAGCCTGCTGGTTTCAATATCTAAGCTGACAGTAGAAATTGCATCCAGAAGAAGTACACAGCAAGCTAGCTTGTAAAACTCTTAAAAATCTGTTCTGGTATCTGGCTATGTGCGTTCCCAGGAGCTTGTAAGAAAGTGGTGGTGATAATATGTATATTCAACACCCCTTTTGGATTCTTGCTTGCATTACAGGCTCAGATTCTTTTGTTATTTCCCTTTCTGCAATCTGCTGGAACGAAACCGGCAGCAAGCACCCTGCTACACAGCTACGCAAGTGCCTTTTGTTTGAGGTGTCACACCAAAGTGAAGTAAATCCTCCTGTGGTTCTGTTTCATGGATTTACCTACCATGATGGGCACCTAAGGACTCTACAGAGGTATCAGATTCATTGCGTGAATCGATCCCTTTCCCTGTCCCAGGGAGCTCATCACAGGAGACTGAGAAAAAATATTTCACAATAGATGGGTAACTATACAAATGGGAAAGAGGAAGACATATGTCTTCCCTTCAGGTTGGCCCTTAATTTCCATCTAAACAGTGATCGAGACAGGAATTAACAAAACAACTTCCATGCCAGCACAACGGCACCACTTCCTGCAACTGCTTTCCAATTGGCATGAGCTTGCTATTAGTCATCCCACTGCTGTGAGCAGGAGTACTTAGAGGAGAAGCAGAGGTATTACTGGTGGCTTTGGGCATCATGATTGTAGTACTGGTACATCTATTTCCAAGGAAACCTCTAGTAAGGTAATACAGAAACAACAATGATAAACTAGATTCTCATTAATCAGAGCCATCAGGTCCATGAGGAAATTTCAAATGGATGCATCAACAAAACTAGAAAACAGACTATAAATTAACAACAGCGTTAGTAATTCAGAAAGGCAGGTCAAGAAACCCAAGCCTGTGTGTAGCTAAGCAGAAAGAAATAAAGGATGCTGGATTTTTCATGCCAATATGTGGGAAGGTCAAGCCTGACTTCAACAGGGCTGCACTTGAAGCCTGGCTTATATGCCAGAGTCAGAGACAACAGCAGAATGCTGGAGGAGCACAGAAATGAGCTCAGAAAAAGGTCACGTAAAGACTGGAAAAGGACATCCTGAATGTAACTGGGCTGCCAATCCCAGCCTGAGCTTATTACACTGATAAAGATCATTCGAACCAAATCAGCCACTTCTTAGACAGAGTAGGAAACACAAAACAGGCTGAACATGTTCAGAACAGCTTGACCCACTGAGTTCTTGTATAAGTGCAGTCTGCACAGGCTAGAAGAAGCAGGCCTGCCTTGATGATAACCTGGCAGAAAATAATCAAGCTTCAAGGCCTTTAAAGCACGTCTTATTGTCCCCAGGGTGTCACTGGGAGTAAAAGGGCATAGACTGTGCAAATCACATACTTGGATGTTACTTTTCTCAATTGTAAGTAGCAGCTGCCTTTTGCACAGATACAGGATGGTAGCAACATCTTAAATTTATAAGCTTCAAATGAGGCCTCTCAATCAAGGAAGAAAGAATAGAGTAAAATGGCCTCTCACACAGACACATTTTGAACACATCACCTATGATTTTCCAGACATAAAATAGCTCTGACACTAGCTAAAATCAGCTGTATGTTTCCTCTGAGCAGACTGAAATCTGTCCACCTGTTCCAAAAACATTAATGAACATCATCAACATGCAAAGGCTCAGAATAACCTCCTCAAACAACTTCTGCTACACATGCAATAATATGCTTGGCTTAATAGACCTTTGGCAAGAGTCACATTTCAGGCCATTTCAGGCTTCTTGACAGTAAGAAGGCTGTTGCCAAATGTGACTGACTACCACAGTCTCCCAGACCCTTCTCAGGATCTCCAGACTCTGTACCTAGACATATGGTGACAGACCATTGCTACCCCAGTGACAGCACGTGGTGACAAGCAAACCAGAGAAACATTCTGAGCTTACTCTAACACAAACATCATGACCTTCATGGGTGATCTCAAAAGATTACTAAAACCTAGAACGCCATTGCAGTTTAGGTGTTGGTAGAACTGAAGACTCACCTAACCGTTTCCCTCCAAATTACTGCCCCTCCTAAAAGGAGATGTTCGATAGCCAGTAAGCACCTTAGTTTCAAGCTACAAATCTGGTTTCCAAAAGTGATTCTGTCATTTCCATGTTTCCACAAAACCTGGGAGCTGTGAGTGCTCACCTCTCTCTGGAAAATCATATCTTTGCCACCATGGTAATTATTTGTTTAAGTTCTCACAACCTATAGGGTTGGAACAAGAACCCAGGGTTGCAGGTGGGTGATTATCATTACTGCTGATTCAACTGAGCTATAACTAAGTTGCTGTCCTTCTTTATTATAAACTTAACAAAAACATTATTTCCTATAGATTTTAAATTATTTAGGACTTTATATTTAGACAGAAGGTTTGAACACAGCTGCAGTATACAGACAAAAAATCAGTGCAATATCATTCGGTTTTGTATTTATCACTGCTTACCTAAATTTGTCAGAAAAAGAGCAACCTTTTCATACAGCTGCAACAGAGAAGAAATAGCCTCTTAGAAACGTGACCAGATCATATTGCCATTGTTAACAATATAGAACTGTTTCTTAAGAAGAGTAACTGCTGTTACATTTTAACTCTGACATTCAGATAATCTCTGTGAGATGCTGTGATAATGATGACAAAAATAAAGCTGTATAGTAATAATACTATAATGATGCAATCAAACAATGAATAGTAATACTTTAAAAACTTTTACACAGCACTTTCTATCAATAATATACGTAGAAAAAATGCTGTCACTATCCCTCTTTTACATACACAGCGAAAAAGGGTCAGATAACTTTTTGAAAAACACAGAGCAGAGCAGCATCACAACGATTTTGCTGTTATTCCTCCTGGAACAGTAAGACTGTGTTAGAGATTCTGTTAACAACACTTGGCTCTGATTATCTGGTACTGCACTTCATCACTGCCCATCCTGAAGGGCCCTGTTTAGCATTACATTTATTCTGTGTTCATAATTTCTATGGACGTTATCGCTCAAATTAACGGGCTTTATTAACCCAGATAAAAATAATGACTGTCCCCAGATCAGGGCTGCCTGATTATCTGGGAGACATTAGGCTTGAAGGTCATCTAATTTTGTCATGATGGATGTGTCAGCATATATATTCCCAGCTCTCAGAGCATCCAGTCTAGAAGTTACTTGTGGTCTAGACCTCACCCCTGATGATCAGAGGCTGTCAACTTGTGTTAGAGTCACTGGCTTTGTCCAGGCTTCCTGACAGTGAATTCCCTAGCTATACGCCACCTTGGGTCCATTTTGTTTTTGCGACTCTTTCTTTGCTTGGCCTCCTGCTACTCTTCTTGAATCACGGTTTGTAGAGGATTCAACTACCTGATTGTTCCTGGGGAAAAAAAGTTATTCGTACTTGAAGGAAATTCCACTACTCTCTTTAGTAAACCACATTCATCCATTACGGGATTATGTTCGTAACTCCTTCATTAGAAAAGCTCATGCAGCTTCACATTTTTGGGATCTTTTGTTTCCATGAGCCATATCCAGTTCTAAGGCCGTAGCACTTCACGATAAAGAGCAAAAGGCTTAAGCAATCCATCTTTGCTGTACTGTATTTATTTGATACATTTGGGGAAAAAAGATGAAGTTTGGTATCTTTGTGGCACCTTCTATTATTTTAACCTTTCACCTAAGCTGTAGAAATCTTTGAGAACCAGATATTTCTGTTTGTGCAGTATCGCTATGTTACTGCTTCACTGCACATACGATGGTTTATAATGAGGGCTTGGAAATGAAAGCTTTGCTAATATGGATATACGTAGTTTTCTTTCTATTTTTGCTATGATTATTGCGTGCTCTAGGTAGATTAAAAAAAAAAATCCTAAAAGCTGCAGATGAATTCAAAATAACATAAGAGAGCTCTCAGTACAACTTTCAAGAGAATAACAATTTCCACCCCTTCTTTCTGTCCTTTCTCAGGCTATAGTCCCACCTTAGGGAAAGCATAGGAAAGCCAACAGTTCTGTATAGACTGTTCTAGTTACCAACTCAGTCTTGCCTATGCCAAAGGGAGAGGTGAAGTCCAGCAGTGAAGCCTCTTAGAATCTCCTGCTATATAAAGGAGGGGCTGTTAAAATGAATTTTTAGATGACAGTAAATGCTTTGTCATTCCACAGGTGAGAAAGTAGCCTCCAAACCAGCACTTGGAAATGTGTGGGCCAGAAATAACACCTTATACTTCCCCTAGAATTCACCCAAATAAGCCAGCGTACCTCCCGGAACAAGGCCTAACATGCTTTTGGCAGGAGACACCAGCTACTGAGTGGGCAGAGATATTCTGCTCCATCTACAGTATCCGGATGGTTTGTAGATTGAGCCCTTCCCCCCTGCACCAAAATGCATTCTTAAAATGTCAGTTGACAAAGAAAACTTATCTGAGAGAAAAAGGACGTACACCTCTTGCCAAGATCAAATGACAGAAGGCACTCTGGCCGTCGTTACCACAAGAATATTCAGAAGTATCTGCATCCTGACAGAAGGATGAAACTCACCCCTCATCTAATCCACGCTACACTGTTTTATTGGGGCTGCCACCACCTGGAAATTCCATTTTCCCCTTTATCCTGAGCCCAGTTCCAAATCAGGTCACCTATCCTCAATAAGCTGACCACAACCAACTCCCTTCGCAATGCACCTAGACCATGTGTCTGGTACACCCTAGCAAAGGCCATCAGCAGTCAAGTCACATCTCTTCAAGCATCATGAAGTTCTCAGCTCATGGGAGTGCTCCTGCATATGGACATTGTGTCTGTATATGGATATCTTCACTGGGAAACTGCTGTGAAAACTGAAGCCAAAATGGCTGACAGCAGTATAAATAATAATTAGGTTTGACCATTGTATTTAAAAAAGAACATAAAAAAAATTGTTTAAAATAAGAACATGAAAGCAATGTGCTGAAACTTGCAAACTTGGAAAAAATGAGGTAGAGGATAAAACACAAGTATGGACATGTCTCTATTTTTTAGAACTTTCAAATACACTTAATATAATTTTTTTTAGAATTGTACTTTACATAATTGGTAACTAACGTACATAAACAAAAACCTCATGTTCAGTCTAGCAAGGTACTGCGTGGCCTCCATTTCTATTGAAGTCACGATCTGAAACTATCCAGTAACCTACAGACGGAGATATTTACCGACCTGGTGGTTCGATTTGGTTGTGGCTACTTTTACTTACCACATTCAGTAGCATGATGATGCAAAAGTTGATGCACACTGCATTCCCCGTAGTTGCAACCTGAGAATTATTCCTGATTAAAGCCCACTTAAAGGCAGCAAAAGTGCTGACAGTCACAACACGGTAAATAACAATTCCGAAAACAGCAGCAATCACCACACAGATCTAAAG